CTTGTCCCCCGTGTCCCGCATCTAACCCCAGAATCCTTTTTATTTGCCCTGGGTCTGGAGGGCTTGTGTTAGTTTCGGCTGATGCTCAGTTAGGCCCCGTGGCCTCGAGACCGGTGTTGACATCATCAGTGGCGTTAATGACCCTGGTTATTTGCACACAGTGGCCTGTCCGCCTTGCCATCGCTGAGTGGTTTTGCTCCATCTGACCTCCCTGTACTTCTTAAACTTGGCTCAGTTTTAGTTTTATGATTTGCGGTGCCCAGCAGAGGGTTGTTTGTTGTCCGGCATTGCGTTCGGGTAACTGAGCAGGGCTGAGAGTTTTCTGATGCCCGGCTGTGAGCTAGCAGGGTGGCACCCAGTGCTGCGCCGTGGCCGGGGGCCATGCTGGGTCCAGGCAGTCAGCCAGTGTCACCATGTGCTTCTGCGTGCTCTTCGCCTCGTGTTGGACAGTGTCTGCTGAATGAGGCCCCTCCAGTCTCCTATAACTCTGCCAGTGAGCCGGTTTCCTGCAGCCGAAATGCTTTAAGACAGAATGTTTGCAATGATAAGTCATTGAAGGCCTTAGCATAGAGTGTATCTTTCCTGCACTGCCTGCCTGAGATTGTCCTTTTAAAATCCTCACTGCCAGCAGCTGGATTGGCACCTACTGAATGTTCCCAACAGCAAAGCCGTCACCTGACATCCCTTGAGGGCCTGACACATACCGCTACCCTGGGAAACGTGTCCGGTGGCTGTGCAACACGTCTTAGTGCTTGTGGTCCCTAAGGCTACGTCCATACAGCTACATTTTCGTTTAAAAATGCAGAAATCGGTCTACGTTTTTGCCTTTCGTCCACACTACCTCTGAGTTTTCTGTTTACAAAAATGGAGACTTTTGAACACACTCTTCACAGACATATACTTCTGTAAACTCTGTTTCAGCATCGCAGTGTGGATGAGAGAAAACGGAGACTTAAGAGAATGCAGACCCCATGAGTACCATAATTGGTCTCTGCTCATTATGTGGGCCTTCCCTGATTTGATCCAGCTAGTTACGACCTGTCATTGTCTGATTGGTCACCTAGTCACCCCTAACAGACGTAAACTGTACGCATGAGTAATACCTCCTCTTTTCTTTTCGATCTGATTTGATGACCAAGGTTGGTATTTGATTCAAAACCAAAGTTGGTGTGGAGGGAATCAGGCCTGATTGTTTTATTTCCATGCAGCATGCCGATGGCTGCACAACTTTTTTGCTTAGAATTGAGATCGTGATCCTCTGTGACAATTTTTTTTCGTTAAATTTAAATGTTTATTGCACTCATTAAACTGCAAAAGGAAACACAACAAAGCATGACTGCCCTAAACATATGATTGATCCAGGACCGACATACCAACTTCTGACAGCAGAAAGGAAATGCTCAATTGGCCATTCAGTTAGGGTAACCGAATGTTCCAGTACCAAAAGTACGGTACCTGGTGCACTGGAAAAATGCCCTTTAAAGAGCATGCAGAATTATGGGATGCTTGAGTCTCTGGGGAAAAGTAGGAGTGCTTGGTTTAATCCAGCTGATATAATACAGTGCCGCAGAACCGTTAGAAGTTAGATGGCATAGAGGTGTGAATCAAGATTGCGTTGTTTTACGATTAATCATGCGGCCCTACAGTATGCAGCTAAATGGCGTGTTATGCAGTGTGACTGCTGCACTTTTGTGCTAAAAGAAGCAAATTTAAGGGCCACTTGTTTTTGTCTATGCTCACAAGCCCAGTGTAGGTTATTAGCTATGTCATAAACATTTTTGCTCGTTTCAATTTGGATGGAAATACTTTCTTAAATGGCCTGTAAATGCCTATGTGCATGGTGATCGTTTTCGTTTGAAAACTCTCAATAACGTAGCAGTGGACGTAGCCCAAGAGTCGTTCGCGCCTCGGTATGACAAGCGGTTCCTGGTCCTTAACGCTCATCGCTGTCTTGTGCTGCTGTGGGCCACTCCACAGCTAGGGGGCGAGCAGCAGTCCCTGACATCTGCTGTCTGGTGTCTGGACTCACCTGTTTGGGGAGTTTTGGATATCTGAGGAGGAGTGGACCTCGATGTCTGCTGTACTGATCCGTGACACCAATCCGCGTAGTTTAGGGACAAAGCCCCCGCCGTGCCCCATGTGCTGTGAGCGTCGTTTTTGTGGCGATGACGCTAGCCGCAAGGCACTGTTGCCAGAGCAACCTGTACAGCTCTGTCAGACCTATTCAGGGGCCCCCACCCCCTTTGGGGGTGTGTGGAGAGCCTGATGAATTGCAGTGTATTCAGCAGGCAACTGCCATGCCCTGGATGCGCTTGTGCTGTGGCTCTGTGACTCTGTTCATGTGACCCAGGTCAGCGCCTCGGAGTCCCACAGCCCACAGAGTTGGCTGTCCTTGGGCCTGTCAGCCTCCCTCATTTGTGTTTCATAGCAAGATCTCTTCCCTGCCTGTTCGTGTCTGGGGAAGCAGAGCCACGGTCAGGCCTTTAGGAGGTGTGGCGGCTGTGGATCTGAGAGTGTGTGCATTATGTAGTTCTTTGGAAGGAGCCGTGTTTAAGGTGAGGAATGTAGATAAAACCGGTTCACGGGGATGATATCTTTACGCCAGAGTTCAGGAGGTATGGCCTGGGCATCTGGGAGTGGGTTCTCTGCTCAAATGCGCATGACTGTGAACAGCAGCAATGGCATGATTGTCTTCTCAACCTACTAGTTATAGGAAGATTGGCCGCCATGGCAACAGATGACAGCCAGTAATCACTCTGTTGGCATGGTTACAGGTTACAATTCTGGAAAGAGGACAGAAGGGGAGACAGGGTAAAACAGCAATGGAGAGAATATGATGGGCCCCATGAACCATGTCTGGACCTTGTCTTTTATCTCCTGGCTCTGGGGTATTGGCTTTGTTTATAGCATGAATCCCACCTACTGCCTTGGTTCCTTTGCATTTCCCATCATGCCATGGGGCTGTTTAAGTATGGCATCTGCGCTGTGCAGTTTTCATTTGGGGTTCCATGGCCCGGAAAGGCGCTGATGGTGTGACAGCATGGAGCTGCTTCACCTCACTGCACTGTGTGTAGTATAAGGCTCTCGGCACGTTGGGGTCGACACGTTCATCATGTCTTTCTGCTCTGTGTTCAGCTCCTACAGCCTCCCATGTCCCTGCATGAAGTCTCTCTCAGCGCCCGCCCATGGTACCAAACTCCAGGGGCTGGAGGAATGGCCCCCATTTCCCCAGCTCATCCACCCCACCCTTATTCCATTTAAGTCACGGTGTTAAGATGGTTGTCAGTTTATAGGCACCGTAGAGTTAAAATGCCACTCAATTATTAGGTGGGATACATGGTTGGGTCACGGGTCGAGAGCTAGTCCACAAACACCCCACAGGTCCCAGTGGGGGGGCGCCTTGCCCAGGACCCCTCACACTCCCTCCAGTACTGACAGATTGGGGGGCGGAGCCTGTCCATGACAGCATTTGCAGGCTTGTTTCCATGGTGACACAGGCTTAATTCATTGGCCATTCGACGCCCTTTTCAGACACACCTCCAAGGGGCGGTGGAGATGCCCCACGTGGCTTTTTGTGGTCCAATAATAAGACAGTAATGATGCGAGCTGCTCAGCCTATTGGAAGACGTGAGTGCTGTTGAGTTGTGGGTTGGGGGAGTGTGGTTTTGGGGCTCCCCCCCCCTTTACGCATCAGGCCCCTTGGAGGGAAGTAGACTTTCTGAATGATGCACACCCTGAGTAAAATGGATTAAAGCTGTAGGTGTTTGAGATAATGACATGTTATCATTTTATCATTTTTTGTGTTTTATTTGTTTTTGTTTCTGTTTTTGTTTGTGGTTCTGGCGACATTGTCTATCAGTCAACATCCCAAAAATTGCTGGTAAGTTCGTTTTCAATAAGAGCTCCTAGTCTGATGCACTGTTGTGATTCATTTCAATTAAAATTGACTTTTGGTTTGTTTATCAGTGCGCTGGCTCTGGCTCCTTTAAATGCACAGTATGGGCATTATGGTCTGTCTGTCACATCTCATCCACCAACCAATGCTCTTGTCTTCCTGGGGCGGGGTGGGATTATGGGTGGGGACATTACCAGTACCCCGCCCCCAAGTGCAGTTCCAGATTCCACACTGCCTGCCTTTTAATGTTAGTTGGTGCGAAGCCCCCCCTCCCTTCCTGGCCGCTCTAACACCTCTGTGACCTCACCCGCCCACCCCATAGCTTGAGCCACTCTATGACTTGATTAATCAGTTTATTTATTTATTTTTTGTTACCTGCATGTCGGCTTGACTGTGCATTTTGTCGATCTTTCATACAGCATTAATGCTGTGTAATGTTGTAGGTCAGTTTCTGTGGATGGCGAAATTCCCTTGTTTGCGGGCGGGTGCACATGATCTGTGAAGTGTAGTGGGGGGGGGTGCTCTGTGAAGCTTTTCGCAGCCAACTGGGCCCGGGTCCCCTAACAGCCAATGACTGCAGTGCACTTCCTGTTGGAGTCCCCTGCGTGTTCATTGGCCCCTACCTCCTAAAGGGACTCTCACCCTTTTGGGATGGTCCCCCACTCCACATTAATGTGATACACAAACACTAGCCCCACGCACGCACATGCGCACACAAGCTCATTGTCTGTCCTCAGAGAAGCCCTGTAACCTTCGTGCCTTGAAGCCTTGGTCACCAATACCCATGAGTCCCCCTCACCCCGCACGCTCGCCCACCCGCCTCCCACTGGCTGAATTTGGGTCCGCCCCCGCCGTGCCTTGCAGCTGCACCCTCGTAGTGAATCGTTTTGGGAGGGCTAGTCCATCCTGCTGTAACATGGCTAATCTGCAGCGAAGCTGAATGGGTTCAGTCCGATCCTCTAGCTCTTGTCCACATGGAGGGCTGAGCTGCCAAACAGGTCATGCCGAAGCGCGCTACCTGCAACAGTTACGTTTTGGTTCCATTCTGGTTACGTAAAGGTTCCATCTCTGCTGTGTCTCACCAGGCAGGACTGGCTGGGCGACACCGGCCAGTGCTGGCCGACTTGCTTTGCTGCTGACCTTTCTGCTATGTGACGCAAAGCTTGTCTTCTGACACACGCCCCGCTAGTTGCTGTCACATCAGTAGGGGGCGCTCCCTGTGCCGAGGTCCGGTCCGATCGCTGTCTTCCTTTTTCTCCACCAGTCTACCCCACTGCACCTGGCAGCTGGGTACAACCGTGTGCGGATCGTCCAGCTACTGCTTCAGCATGGCGCTGACGTCCACGCCAAGGACAAAGGGTGGGTCGACATAGCCTGTGTGTGTGTGTGTGTGTGTGTGTGTGTGTGTGTGTGTGTGTGCAATGCCCCCTGTGTGTACAGACAGCCTGGCTAGGCCCATAACTCCGCCCCCCCCAGCAGCTCTCCCCGTCTGGCCCCATCCACCATTGTGATTCCTCCATTTGGAGAGACTGTGCCCGCATATTCCCGCTGTGCGGCCCGGCCGGCCTGAAGGGGGCAGATTAATGGTGCTGGGTTCAGCCTGCGAAGGGCAGATGAATGGCGGGGGCCTGGGACCTGGCTCACTCCCGCACACATTTGCTGCTCTCTGTCCCGGGTGCTGTGGGCTTGCGATCGCCTTCGCTGACCCTGTTTCCGGCTCTCCATCCACAGCGGCCTGGTCCCCCTGCACAATGCCTGCTCCTACGGTCACTACGAGGTCACCGAACTTCTGCTCAAGGTGAGGGTGCCTCTGAGGGCCTGATGGGTGTGTGTCGCTAGGCCTCTGTGAGGGGGCTGCATGTACAACATAATGCCCCCCCTTAGGGATACCGCGGTGACTGATAATGCACGTTAACTCTTTTTATAATGTTACTGAGAGAGTGTTTAGCCAGAACTCTGTAAATGTGTCAGTGTGGATCATGGTGGCCAGTGTAAGATGAAAACAGACCCACTGGCCTGTCTAGGCACTGCTCCTGCCAGTGACACACAGACCTATTCCTGCTCTGCCTGGCTGGTGAAACATCGGAACAGCCGTTACTTTCAGGCCGTATCTGCTAGGTGGGTGTGAGTTTCATCAGCAGGTTGCACCAGCCAAGCAAAAGTTTGACCGTAGCCTACAGTGGATGTTTACTGCCCCTACAAACTACTAAAATTGGCTGTGCCATGCAAGTAGTTTCAATGTAACACAAGTTATAATGTAAATTCCACACTTCCTTATCTTGACGTTTAAGGTCCGTCGTAACTAACCTTTGCTGCTGGTTTAGGATAAAACAAGGTCACTGGCTTGATGTGGTGGCTTCAGTAAGCCAGCGTTAGCTGGTAACGTGGAGAAATACGCTGCCCTGCCATTGTTTGTTTCCTGTAAACCCTGTTTGTATTTCTTGAGCTTGAACATCTCATGTAGCAGAACCACTATCAAGCACCTACAATAAATGTCTAACTTCACTACAAATGTGATAAATAGGGATGCACCGAAATTTCGGCCGCCGAAAAATTTTCGGCCGAAATAGCATTATCGGTTTCGGCCGAAACGTAAGAAAGCGCCGAAAATAAAAGCCGAAATTGTCGCCATGCCTCTCCCATCCTCCCGAAAAAAGATCGCTTTCCTTTGCTTGCATGGACTGCGCGCAAGTACTTATCTGCCCCAAGCACCAGCACAGACAGTGAGAGATTATTCAGTGCAGCATCTCATGTTCTTGATGAGAACAGAAATCGTCTCTCCAGCCAGAAAGCTGAACAACTTTTGTTCATAAAGAGAAATCTGCCACTTTTGCTAAAATAAAAGCAGCCTAATTTGATGTTGTTTACAGATAAAGGTTTGATTTATTTATTCTGTTATTGCAATGTTGTTTTGCACAGTAATTTAAAATTGAAGTAAAACATTTAATGCAGGTAATATTTTGCACAATTCGTAAAGGCACTAAAAGCTAGCACAGACTGAGTGATTTTATTCAGTGCAGTATGTTCTTCATGAGAAGAGGAACTGTGTCTTCAGCCAGAAAACTGAAAAACTTTTGTTCATAAAGATAAACCTGCTTCTTTTGCTTAAATTAAAAGCAGACCAATTTAGTGTGTATAGTTATGTTGTTTACAGTAAGAGGTTGGATTTATTTATTTTTCTTCTGTTTGTGCACTGTTGTTTGGTACAGTAATTTAAAATTGAAGTAAAAAAGCAGCTAGCATTTTTTTTGCACAATTTTGTTACAGAAAGAAATTTTATTTAGTTTTGTTATTGTTAAACAGCCTTATTACTGTTATTTATTATCAATAAAAGTTTGATTGCTTAATTAATTTGTAGTTTTTTTAATACAAACAAAAAGAAAATATTTTAAACATGTTTTTTAATGAAGCCATTTTCGGTTTCGGTATCGATTTTCGGCCAAGTGCATCCAAAAATTTCGGTTTCGTTTTCGGCCCAGAATTTTCATTTCGGTGCATCCCTAGTGATAAACATACTAGTGGTATAACAGACCTTAGTTGATCCCCACCCCCCCCCCAGTATGTGAACCACGGGTTAACTGCAAGTTAAGTTTAACCATGATAGTGTGAAACAGTTTTATTGTTGGTGTCACAATGAAGGTGAATTCCTCACATATGTGTAGGACACGGGGGAATTTCAGATTGTCTGTGATAATGCAATAACAAAAAAAATTTGCAGAGATTTAATAGCATTATCAATGGCATTTTTGGTGAAATCTGCTTCCCTCCCGCTCATAACAAATGCTGTTTGTTAAAGTTAATTATAACTTTAGTTTTTCCTGAGATCTTGTTTTGTGATCTCGGGGAAAAGTTTGGCTATATTGGGATCTCTGATAAAATAGGCTGTGATTTTGACAGAAGACGACAACGATGGATGTTCTTTATGGACTTCCGTACCATGCAGAGTTGCGATGATAAGATACAGAAAAGAAGTTCATGTGTCCATGTGAATGGGGCATGTTAAAGGTTCCTTGCTTTGAGTTCTCTAAGTAATAAAAGGAAAAGTTTTTTTTTTTGCTGATCCCTGACTCAAAAGCCGGATAGAAGCTGAGCTGTGAGTTTCGTGATCTGTTACACCACTAAACATACCTAGTGAGTTTTGTGATCTTACACCACTAAACATACCTAGTGAGTTTTGTGATCTTACACCACTAAACATACCTAGCACGTTACCTAGTGTTCCATTACAGTTGTGGTTGAAATACTTTTCACAAATGCAGAAAACAAATCATTGGCTATATATAAAACCCAAACTTGATAAACCTGGAACAGCGAGTTGGTTCCGGTAATATCAGACAATGATATTGATTGGTTTTCCACTGTAAAAACGTCATTCTGTGTGCCAGTATTTTTATTTCGTAGCTACTAACTAAGATGGAACTTAAGTAGCAGTGGTGCATCCGACAAAGAACGCGGTTCTAGTTACGTATGATTTAAGGTACACTTTACACCCCACCTTGCAATTTTACGAATTTACGCTAAGCTGGTGCAACCCACTGCTGGAGATTCCAGCTATCACTGTGAATGTATGGTGACCTAGCCCGTTTTCTGGAAGGTGTGTGAAGGGCGGAAGGACCAGGGTTTCCATTCCCGTCAGCCTCAGCGCCTGCCCCTCTTCCTGGGAGCAGGCCGCCAACTGATGGCTTCCTAGATCGAGTTCTGTCGTAAATGTGAAATACATTCTGCAATCTGTGGTGATCCAGCTGGCCGCTCTCAGTGGTATTTTTGCCCTGGTGTTTTTCCACTCCGGTTTTTATCGTTACTGAGGGCCCTGTCCCCTTTCCCACAGCATGGCGCCTGCGTCAACGCCATGGACCTGTGGCAGTTCACGCCGCTGCACGAGGCGGCCTCCAAGAACCGGGTGGAGGTGTGTTCACTGCTGCTGAGCCACGGCGCCGACCCCACCATCGCCAACTGTCACGGCAAGAGCGCAGTGGACATGGCCCCCACGCCCGAGCTCAAAGAGCGCCTCACCTGTGAGTACGCCAGCCCCGCGGGGGCCCCTGCCCCCAGCCCTAACCCTCATCTGTGCGCTCTGACCCCCTGTGTTCCTCCCCCAGATGAGTTCAAAGGCCACTCCCTGCTCCAGGCGGCACGGGAGGCAGACATGGCAAAGGTGAAGAAGACTTTGGCCCTGGAGGTCATCAACTTCAAACACCCCCAGTCCCACGAGACTGCGCTGGTAAGGACCCTTGCGATGGCGGTTAAGGGGCCGCTGACCCTGATGTGTAGGAGGGGGGTGTGGTCTTTGCTGAGCCGGGCCAGCCCTGGCGGCCATTCTGTCCTGACCCTGTCCCCCTGTGTGACAGCACTGCGTGGCGGCCTCCCCGCACCCCAAGCGCAAGCAGGTGACCGAGCTACTGCTTCGTAAAGGAGCCAACGTCAACGAGAAGAACAAGGAGTGAGTGCCCCCCCCCTCCCCCAAATCATGGCGCTCTGCGCTGTTTCAGTGGCTTGTCATTGGCTAATATCTCTCCATCCCCCCCAGCTTCATGACTCCACTGCACGTGGCTGCGGAGAGGGCGCACAACGACATCATGGAGGTCCTGCAGAAACACGGAGCTAAGGTAGGCCTTCGGCGCATCGATCTGTTCTTGTTATGAAAGAGGAGCGCGCTTTGCACTGAACCGTCTGCCTCAGAGTGTCTGAGGAAATTAGCCGTAAATGCTGCAGATTTTCAGGGACATGCGGTCTGGCTGCTCTCTCTGCCCCAGCTGTTTCAGAGAGAATTTGCCTTTACTGGGGAATTCGGTTTGGGGGTGAGGTCCAGTTAACATTTCAAACTGACATGACCAGCCCAGGAAGTGACACAGGTTCAGTGGGGGAGGGCCGTCTGCCTGGCCATAGGCCCCCTGGGGGGTCTGACACCGCGGTCTCCCCCACCCCACAGATGAACGCGCTGGACACCCTGGGCCAGACGGCCCTGCACCGGGCGGCGCTGGCGGGCCACCTTCAGACCTGCCGACTGCTGCTGAACTACGGCGCCGATCCGACCATCGTCTCGCTGCAGGGCTTCACTGCGGCTCAGATGGGTAACGAGGCCGTGCAGCAGATCCTTAATGGTATGCAGACCGAATCTCTCTGTAACCCCCCCCCCCCCAATTAGGCCTGCCCTGAGGCACGCCCCCAATCCGCCATCTCCTCTCGCCCCCCCCAGAGAACGTCCCGGTGAGGAACTCGGACGTGGACTACCGTCTCCTGGAAGCGGCCAAAGCAGGGGACCTGGACACTGTGAAGGTAGCGAGTCCCCCCTCTCCCCCCGATGGCTGTGGCGTTTTGGGCTCAGCCTTTAACCCGTCTCACTCTGTCGCTGCCCCCAGCAACTGTGCTCCCCCCAGAATGTGAACTGCCGGGACCTGGAGGGCCGGCACTCCACGCCGCTACATTTTGCAGCCGGCTACAACCGCGTGGCTGTGGTGGATTATCTGCTGCACCACGGTGCTGACGTGCACGCCAAGGACAAGGGGTAAGCCCCCTCCCCTCCCTCCTTCACCGTAACAACCATGTGACCATGCTGGCACTGCCCCCGTGATGTGATTGGTTGTGGTTCTTGACCTGCCCACAGCGGCCTGGTTCCCCTGCATAACGCCTGCTCCTACGGGCACTACGAGGTGGCGGAGCTGTTAGTGCGGCACGGGGCCTCCGTCAATGTGGCCGACCTGTGGAAGTTCACGCCGTTGCACGAGGCGGCCGCCAAGGGCAAATACGAGATCTGCAAACTACTGCTCAAGGTACCGCCTCCCCCCCCCACTGACCCCCTCCACCCACATCACCTCACAGCTTCTCGTCCTCAGCATGGCGCCGACCCCACCAAGAAGAACCGGGATGGGAACACGCCCCTGGACATGGTGAAGGAGGGAGACACGGACATTCAGGACCTGCTGAGGGGCGACGCCGCCCTGCTGGACGCTGCGAAGAAGGGCTGTCTGGCACGCGTGCAGAAGCTGTGCAGCCCAGAGAATATAAACTGCAGGGACACGCAGGGCCGCAACTCCACCCCACTGCACCTGGCGGGTAGGGGGCCCATGCTGAGAGAGCTTCTGGAGTCTCCAAGTCCAAGGGGGGGGGGTCACTCCGACAATCAACATTGAAGCCTTCATGGCCTTTATTGTAGTGTTTTAACAGCTGTCACCAGCAGGGGGCGTACAGCTTTCCTTCAGGGGGGTTTAATGTGAGCTTGCTGTCCTGTTAGGGCTGCTGCTCATCAGATAGCTAAGAAGCTTGTGTTTCACTGATGGAGCCACGTTAATGTCCTGGCATATCAGACTGGAGAACTCAAATCCAGTTAGCAGTGTTGTCATGCCTGTACATGCCATCTGTGTGTGAGTGAAGTGAGACAAAATAGAGTGAATATCCCCCCCCCCCCATTCCTACAGCTGGTTACAACAACCTGGAGGTGGCGGAGTACCTGCTGGAGCATGGGGCAGACGTCAACGCCCAGGACAAGGGGGGGCTGATCCCACTCCACAATGCGGCTTCCTATGGGGTGAGTATAGCTGCCCCCCATCTGGTCTCAGGACACACCTCTTGTCCCTGGTACTGACCCACGTTACCTTGGCTTTAAGCTCGTGAGTCGCACATCGTGGGAGATTTTCCCTTTTCATCTCACAGTTTGGCCAAATACAGTTTGTTGCCGTCATTAACGCATGTGAGACGCTGTTCACCCCCCCCCCCCCAGCACGTGGACATCGCGGCACTCCTCATCAAGTACAACACGTGTGTGAATGCCACGGATAAGTGGGCTTTCACCCCCCTTCATGAAGCCGCCCAGAAGGGGCGTACCCAGCTGTGCGCGCTGCTGCTGGCTCACGGCGCTGACCCCACCATGAAGAACCAGGAGGGCCAGACGCCTCTGGACCTGGCCACGGTACATATTCACATGCACACTAATTTCTTGTGTGTCTCTGGTGACGTCCCACTAAAGTGGTTGCTCTCTGTCGCAGGCTGATGACATCAGAGCTCTGCTGATGGATGCCATGCCCCCTGACGCCCTTCCCAGCTGCTTCAAGCCCCAGGCCACAGTGGTCAGCGCCTCTGTCATCTCCCCGGCCTCCACGCCCTCCTGCCTGTCCGCTGCCAGCAGCATCGACAACCTGGCAGGGCCCCTGGCCGATCTCACTGTGTCTGGGGCCTCCGGGCCCGCTGACGGCGCCACCGGCTCAGACCGCAAGGAAGGGGACAGTGAGTAGCGCGCTGGGCTTTGGGGGTCGGCGGGTTAGGGGCTTCTGCTCTGGGAGTTAGGTAAGGTCTTTCCAGTCTCTCCAGTTGACCCATTGTCTGCTTTCCCATAGCCATTCTGGACATGAACATCAGCCAATTCCTGAAGAGCCTGGGCCTAGAGCACCTGAGGGATATCTTTGAGAGGGAACAGGTCTGTCTGTCAGTCTCTGTCTGTCAGTCTCTGTCTGTCAGTCTCTGTCTGTCTGTCTCTGTCTGTCTGTCTCTGTCTGTCTGTCTCTGTCTGTCTGTCTCTGTCTGTCTCTCTCACAACCCTTTGTCCTCTGCTCTCAGTCCCTGTCTCTGATTAGCCACGTACCTATACTCCTCAGATCACGCTGGATGTACTGGCTGACATGGGCCATGAGGAGCTGAAGGAGATCGGGATCAACGCCTACGGTCACCGACACAAACTCATCAAGGGCATGGAAAGGCTGCTGGGGGGCCAGCAAGGTGGGTGGGAGGTGTCGGGCGTGTCCGTTAGCCTCACTGGAAGGAAGACTGAGAAATGGTGGCAGGCTGAATGGGATATTGATGGTGGTACATATCCGTGTTGATAGAGGGACCCCCAGAATCACAGGCAGTTTTCTTTCAGGTGCCAACCCCTACCTGACGTTCCACTGTGCCAACCAGGGCACGGTGCTCATAGACTTGGCCCCTGATGATAAGGAGTTCCAGTCGGTGGAGGAGGAGGTATGTGGAGTTGAGGAATCCTAGATTTCTTCTCTGACCATTACTGTGGAGTCCAGGTTGATTGGATATGCTGGTGGAGCGGCATGTGTGCAGTCATATGCATGCTGCTGTTTGTTCCTCTCTGTGCTGCCTGCCCACCCTCCTCATTTGGACTCCTCTGCCCTTCTGTCCCACAGCTGCAGAGCACCATTCGGGAGCACAGGGACGGGGGCAATGCAGGGGGGGTGTTCAGCCGCTATAACATCCTCAAGGTGAGGCCTGGCTGAACTTGCATTAATAACCAGGTATGTGCTGCTGGCATCACCTCAGTGTGCTTCCATGAGACTCACGTCTGTCTGAAAACGCTGCAGATCCAGAAGGTGGTGAACAAAAAACTGCGGGAGAGATATGTCCACCGGCAGAAGGAGATCGCCGACGAGAACCACAATCACCACAACGAGCGCATGCTCTTTCATGGTAAGGACCTCCTAGGTTCTCCATCTGCAAGTCTGGCCCCTTCTGGTATTTGAGTCATCAGTAGGGCTATCTTTTCTGGTTTCGTCCTCTGTTCTGGACTACATCGAAAGAAAGGCGCTTTTCTTTTTAACAAATCCAGACCATCATCTCTGTCTCGACATGTCCCACTTGACCTGGATCCGGTGCCCTTGGTATCAGGGCAGACCAGTTTCATGTTAATTAACCTTCTGATGTCTCCCATCTCAACCAGGATCCCCCTTCATAAACGCCATCATCCACAAAGGGTTTGATGAGCGCCATGCCTACATCGGTGGCATGTTCGGCGCTGGCATCTACTTTGCGGAGAACTCCTCTAAGAGCAACCAGTATGTGTATGGCATTGGGGGTGGTACCGGCTGCCCCACCCATAAAGACCGCTCCTGTTATGCCTGCCACAGGTACGGTTTCTGCCTTTCATGCTTTGAGAGAGTGGGATGGGAACAGTGATGTGTTCCCGGTGCTTAGGAAACAGTGCTTGGCTTCTCAAACTGCATGCTTGGGTTGGGTAAATGAGCCATGTGTGTATATAACTGTCTGACAACCATGTGTCCCATCGCCTCCTTGCAGGCAGATGCTGTTCTGCAGAGTCACATTGGGCAAGTCCTTCCTGCAGTTCAGTGCCATGAAAATGGCCCACGCCCCCCCGGGCCACCACTCTGTCATCGGCCGGCCCAGTGTCAATGGTCTGGCCTATGCTGAGTATGTCATCTACAGAGGAGAGCAGGTGAGCGAGCAGGCCGACTGACCGACATGAAATAAACACGGGGTGTCTTTAGATAATAGCCAGGGGATGTGGCTCCTCTGTCCATAGGATGTTTGACTCTATCCTCATGCCGTTCGACCTCTCTTTGTCTCCAGGCCTACCCAGAGTACCTCATTACCTACCAGATACAGAAGCCAGAAAGCACAGCTCAGACTGCTCCGGGCGCAGAACAAAAGTCCTAGTCCGGCCCAGCCCAGTCCGGCTCAGCTCAGCTCAGCTCAGCCCTGCCCAGCCTAGCAGAGCCCAAACGAACCACAGAGACTGTTACTGAACACTTCATACATTCGGGGCCAAACTACCAGTGAAGCTCCTTTAGTTTTTTTTTTTTTTTTTTTTTTTACTTTAAGATAAACTTCAGTTGTGAACAGCTGATATTTTTCTTTTCTTGTTTTTATTTCATTTTTATTCCCCTTTCTCACTGTTTACAAAAAGTTGCCTTCACCTGTAACCAGTCACAGCTCCTTTTGCGCCCCCTGGTGCTCAAAATGGTTCACTGCGAGGGTTGGAGGCCACAGGAAAGTGACACCTTCAGGGTGCCCTGTGCCCCCTTAACCACACCCAGCTCAGTCTGCCAACCCCCCCAAGCATTACATTGATGTGAGACATGGCAGACCTGGAGTGGGGGGGGGGGGGGGGGGCATGGATGCCCTGAGCCTTGGTGTCCTTTATTTTTATCGGCCTGTGAACACACTTGCCATCCTGGATTTGTATGCTTTTACTGTGATTGTTTTAGGTTATTTACACTATAAATTGGACCATGTCACACTTCAGTCTGTAGGGACCCTAACTTTTACTTTACTCATTTGTCTTTCTTTACAGGAAACACATTGTGTAGTTTTTTTTTTTTTTTTAAAGAAAGCTTTGGGATGTTTCAGTGGGTTCAGAAAGTGGCAAACTGACGGGAACAACACGGAGAAACAGAAGCTCAGCCTGTGTTACAGCTCGACATATTACTTTGCACAAGAATCGGTCTGTAAGCGTCACAAACCCACGTCGCTGTTGTCTTATACGCAGGATTCATGTTTTAAAGGACTTGCACTTTTAAACAGGAATGATAAGTTATTAGTAACTGAGAAATACGTTTTTGAAAAAAAAAGTTGGTTAATGTACAGGTTATGTAAACAATGCCTTTGTAAAGCTTTGATGTTCTTTACTGATGAAGATTGGCTTTTATTACTTCTCGAAATGAAGCCGGCTTTCCTTTTGGGTTTTTTTTTTTATTTCCACATTTTCCTGGAGATGGAATGACTTGGTGATCAGGCTAACTAGTTGTTTGGTTTTTTTTTTTTTTGAATAAATATTAACTGTAGGAAGTCGTCTGTTGGTCATGTTGCCATGTTCGTAGAACTCACCACTTTGGGTTGGAGAAACTGGTTGTAACAATACTACTGATGACGCAGTTACTCGACTCGCTTCCTGTTCCCTATGAATTCCTGTACTAATTCTGGAGGGGACCCGACTTCTTGTTCAGGAGAGAACCACCGGTCCCCCGGGATCGCTCGCTCTGCCCTGGAGCTATAGGAAGGTGGAACCCAAAACCATGAAGGGCAGTGCTGGCTGGGGTGAGTGGGGGGTGTCAGTGGCGATCACCTGCTTTTAAGCCCCCCATTCATTGGCGCCACTTCAGCATCATGCAGAACTGAATAGAACCACAGACAGTCTGACACGGATGCGCTCATGTGTGGGGGTGTTCCCTTTATGGATGTACTGTTTCAGTGCCGCCCCCATCCCCCCTCCCATCCCCGCCAAATGGAGTCCCTTCCTCAAGCAAGGAAAGCAATCATGTTTCCATCTGCTTCCCGAATGATCCTGTAATCCTTAATGTGATGATTTACCTTTGTTACTCAAACCATGCAGTGTAACAAAGTTGATATGAAGATTAATCTATCACACTTCAGCCTTGTAAACCAGTCTTAATAAAGTATGTGACACTTCACCTGGTGTTCTTTCTTTTGTACATTTTGTTCCATCTTTTTCAAGCCACAATGTTCCTTTTAGGAATTATCTTTGGTCAAGATGTCAGTTTTTAACTATGCTTCCTTATAGATCCCTAAACATTCAGGATATAGCAGTTAAATCCTCTCCAGCAATTATGTAGACTGGCGCAGTTGCTGCTTACCATGACTGATTTATTCGCTGTTATGTAACTCAACTGAAAGCCTTTTGCTGAACCATGCTATCCTATTCCAAATGCATACATGTCATCAGCAGAGGGCACTCTTGCACCAAATAATGATTATTTTCATATTCGCTGGTAATTCTGGAGGTTTTTTTTTTATTTGTAAACCTACACTCTGTGAGGTGTGACATGGACAAGCATCATTCTGTATGCCTATTTTTATTAAGGTATATTAATACAAATGTTCCTTGCCTAAAGGAATCGGCCTCCCTTACTGTATTCAAAGGTTTATTTTTATATACCACCCAGTGCAACTTATCAGGAAGGCAGAATAGAAACACTGGGGGTGTGCAAGGTTGCCTGTCCAACACCCTGCGAACACTGGAGCCTTAGAGTCACCCCATATGTAGGGAATCTAGTGGAACAGGTGGTCTGTACTGACAGGTTTGGGCAGAGAAACACAAAACAGAGACAATTGATTATGAAAACCGTTATATTTAAATGGAGTTCAAGAAATAAATAAAAGGAACATACCATATAACAAAAGAGGGAAAAAGTCTAGAAATTGTATCTTTATGAATGATATTGCCATGGGAACTCTGACAATAACATTTCACTCCACACGGGTATAAAGTATTGCATTGCTCAATGATTGACAGTTATACACCTGTAATATATTAATTTATCACTGGACTAAAATACTTTAACAAAAAGAGTTTTAAAAATGGTAGCTACCACCTCTTATAGTAATGTGCAAATTAATGTAAAAGTTTACTAGGGTATTGCATCACTTTAAAAGTGCTCTATAACAAGGTGCCAACATTCTTCAAAAGGAAAAAGAAAATTCTATGTTTCCTTAAAAAAGCCCAAATCCTAAAGGCATCTTGTCTGGATTCATGAGTGATTTCTTTTACAGAGTCGTGTCTCAAGAACTGAAGCAGAAGAACATGGGGGGGGGTGTCCAAGGCCGAGTGGATCCCTCATTCCAGAAGAGCCCACCTGGACACTGCATTGGGTGAAGGTTCTGTGGCACGGAACACCTCCTTCGCTGGTTTATCCTACATTTCCAGTGATTTCAGACTACCTATGGTTCCATTAGAAGGTCATGTGGGAGGGGCTCCAGGGTATACTTCAAGCAGGGGGGCCTTTTTTGGACCCTCCCACTTCTTGTCATCACTGAGACATGAGGGGTGGGGCTCCAACAAAACACGTATCACAAACACATATCACAGGACGCTGGCCAGGTCTCACTGCCTGATAGGGATCGAAAAACAAAGACAACATTCTTCAGTCATCATACAGTCATTGATGAAGCGTGACTCACACTGAGCTTTTAAGTCTCTAAAAAGTGAGCGGGTCATGAAATAAATATTCCCAGTCCGCCTGGGCTTTGGTGGCCACCAGAGAGAGGAAAGAAAATTATTGCTCTGATTTGCAAACGTATAAAAACTGAGGAAATGTTGAGACTTGATGGAGAAATATTGCAGTCTAAAAGGTTGAAAATGGATGGCTGTCACTGCGAGAGATCAGTCTTTTCCATCATCAGATCGGTGTAAAGTTACATTGGATGCGGATGTGGGATTCCCGCAAACATCTGGAGCATTGTGTACCTTGTCTGAAACCGAGGCACTGACAAAAAGAGGGGAAATCATCTCGGCTCCTCCGTTTTATGGGAGACTCCCCTTCTGCCTGGCAAACATACTACTTGTTGATGTCATTGTACTGCATGTTATTATTCTCTGCCTCCTGGTTCCAGAGCAACACCCGGGTCTTTATCATTCTTTATACCTTCACACGAAAACCACACTATCTCAGTTCCCACCTTCACCTGCCTGACTGCGATAGGGTCGGCAAAGGAGGTAAAGGCAGCCAGGCAATTGGCTAGAGTCTTTGAATGGGGGGGGGCTGGGAACAGGTCGCCCAAAGCCACCACTGGAGGAGAGTCTTTGGAAGACACGATGAAAAACACAGGATATGAATGGAACTCTGATGGATACCGTAGAACGTCACAGCAGCGGCAGACGTAGGCTGCTGACAGAAGATGAAAGCAGCTCTGAGCTAACGGTGAGGGTTTTCCCGTAAGCGATTCTCTTACTGAAACCTCACACACGTATATAGAGCTCTGTGAATTTCCAAAGACTAATGAAACTGAGGACCATTTTTCAGACACAAAATTATTGTTTTACAGTAGAGGCTACGAAAGCACTGTAGTCTGCTTTTTAACCCATGTGCCCGTTTATGTCAGTAAGACAAGATCGTCACCCTGTTGATTTTTTTTTTGAACTATTCAGCATTCTAGAAGCTTCTGCCACCTATCCAGTTCATCCAAGAAGCTTTGGCCACTATCCGAGGAATTACAGCCACTCCAAACAAACTTTCAGAGTATTCTAGACACTTACACCAACAGTCTGGGGTGTTCTAGTATTTTCAACTTTCAGTGTGGAGTATTCTAGAAGCTTCAGCTGCGTGGAGGACGTTGGCACATGTCTCTCAGTCCCTGAGTGGC